TGTCTCTCTCTCTCTCTCTCTCTCTCTCTCTCTCTCTCTCTCTCTCTTTTGGCATTAAGTTTGTTGAGTTCTTTACATATCTTGGAGATTACTGCTCTATTTGATGTGTGTGTTGTAAAGATTTATTTTCCCATTATGTAGTCTCTCTTTTCATGTTATAGATTGTTTCTTTTGTGGAGAATCAGCTTCTTAGTTTGAATCCATCCCATTTGGAGGAAACAACAAAGCAATGGAGTAATTAATTAATTAATTAATTAATAAGTTCCCTTGATTATCAGCATAAGGAAATAGGTTACACATTCCTCAAAATAAATTCAATAAAATCTTTTTTTTCCCAATGGAAATGATCCAGATGTTGGTATCAAGACCAGATTCAACCTGTCACACAGCAGCTGCCTTGTTCATTTCCAAGAAAGTAAAGAATTTCCTGCAAGAATAAGGTTAAGAACACTTGGAAGTCTTCCCAGATACTTGGCCACTCTTTGGATCATGTCAGAATATACCTTAGTGGTGACAACCGTGGCAGCACATTCAATCAAACATTAGACTCCTGATGGCTTTGAAGTAGGTAATGAGTTTCCTTCAGGAAATCTGTCCATATTTCCTAAATTTATGTAATCCTGCTACCAGTGCCTGTATGCAGATATCTGGGATCCAGGTCAAGAAACATTTGCATTATCTTGATCTAGAAGCCATATTGTTCTCTTTCAAAATTATTGATTCCCTGATCATGTGCTTAACTTACCTTGCACGAATGCTCACAGATAAAGCCTGTGATAATTTAGTGAGTGGATTGAAAATGAACCTGGAAAATATACTTGTGAAGAAAGTTTTAAATTGAGAACATCACCATTTGAGGTTTGGGAGGTAGGAGTTGCCAAAATTTTTTTAAGACAAAATATTTCCTGGGAAAAAGAAAACGCTCTTTCTCTAGAGTAAACTACTTTTATAACAAAAATTCTGTGAAAATAGAACAAAAGAACTTGTAGTTTTAGTTCCAGAGGCATTAGTTATTTATATATGAGCCAAACATTTCTCAGTATTTAAGAAATCATGAGTTATGCAATGAAATGATGTTAATTTCTGTGTCTTTCCTCAATGGTTATACACTGGTACAGAAGAACTGAAAAGCCAATAGATCATCTGAGAGAAATGTAAAAATTCAGAAATGTATTATGCATCAAGAATATATATTTTCTGTCATCAAGAGTGTAAAATATGGGCTGGGGATGTGGCTCAAGCGGTAGCGGGCTCACCTGGTATGCGTGCGACCCGGGTTCGATCCTCAGCACCACATACCAACAAAGATGTTGTGTCCGCCGAGAACTGAAAAATGAATATAAAAAATTCGCTCTCTCACTCTCTCTTTAAAAAAAAAAAAGAGTGCAAAATATCACAAGATAAGTGGGACTGTGGTTGTCTACATCAATATCACTATGTCAAACCATGCAAATCATACTTTTATCACATTTGTTTTACTAATATACATCTTTTTGCATTTGTAGGATAGTTTTAAGCTTAGAACATGTCTAAATTTAAAATAAAATCTATGTTTCAGTAAAGGGAGGAAATAAAGTCAGTCAGATTAATGAAACCAAAACATTTTTTAGAGATTCAGTGTCATTAACCTCAAGTAAGAACACACTGTTTTTGTAATTTGAAGTTATGATTATCAGGAACATTATTTATAGGCAGAAGTTTTTGCAGATATAAGTTTGAGTTTGTTAATTGTCAAAAGAGGATTTTGAACATTTTAAGTTCCAGATATTTATGTAAGATTAGATATTACTTGCTTTTTGGAGTACTATTTCTTTTGAGTCTTTATGATGAAGAAATTCTGTAAGAAAATCTAATTTTGTAAGAGAATATTATGTTCATTTATCATAAAAAGAATAATGCAAATGAAACTACAAAATGTGCTGTTTTTAAGTCCTTTGGGTATAGTGCAAGAAGAGGAATAGCTGGGTCAAATGGTGGTTCCGTTCCCAGATTTCCAAGGAATCTTTATACTGCCTTCCATATTGGCTGCACCAATTTGCAGTCCCACCAACAATGTATGAGTGTACTTTTTCCTCTATATCCTCACCAACACTTGTTGTTGTTTGATTTAAGATAATGAGTTATCACCTACAGGATAGAGAGATAGACATTAAAGCTCAGTACTCTTAATATAAGGCTGTTGAAATTTATTTGCTGGATGTTTAAGATTGTTTTAAAATTAAAGTTAAATTAAAAGGGCCAAGAAAACCAATATTTGGCTCTTGCCCTCTGAGTCAGAAGGGAGACATCCCTGATGCTTCCAAGGGAAGCCACATGGTCAAGCAAGGCCTGGACCCATCCTAGCGCAAATGGCACTAGCAGAACTGAGAAGCTGCTGTAAAGTTCCCCAGGAATGACTCCCATAAAAACTCAGCTGACTGTTAACAGTAGATAGAAACAAAAGTCAGTTTGACTGCTTCATCTTAAACACTTAGCAAAGACAGTTAAACCAAAACACAGTTATTCCTGGGCATTTTTAATAATCCTCATCATCATAATAATAATTAAATGTAACTTAAGGTATACACCTTGTGTTAATCCCCAAGAATAAGTAAGACTGGAGGCTACAAAAGAGATTCTTAGGCAGGAGTGCCTGATAACTATCAAAAGAAACTATCCAGAGGAACTGCCAGGGTAGTTTTTAGTTTAAGGCCTACAGATATCCTAACCCACACAGGTAGGCTTGGTGTTTGCTAGTATGATTATGCAGCCTTAAGTAACAGAATTAAAGGTTTCTCTATTAGACACAGAGGTCATACTAGTAAAAGGATTTTGCAAGATCAGATGACATTAAATCATTAAACTGTATCTTATGGGGAAGGACATCTGTAACCCTAAAACTTAAATGTTATGTTTATAGTCCTGATAACTGGGGAGGTCAAAGCCTGATGAGGGAACTTCTATATACTGACATGTTCCAGCTGCTGCAACATTTATTCAGTATTCATGTTTTTTGTTTCTCTCATAGAAGCATCCATCCTCAGATGACAACTTGTTTTTTCCCAACCAGACTTCAAGTGGAACTGACTTCTAAAAGGGAACTCACATCCCCCACATCGTCCAGCCCCCTCACATTTGACACCCTCTTTCAGCTCTGAAGCAGCTAGAATGAGCCATCACCCCTTCTCCTTGTTGGGTGCAGAGCAGGCTGAACTGTGTTGTCTGCAGGGCAGGCTGAACAGATGTTGGCTGCAAGATAGCCCACGCACTCAAACCCCCCTCTATCTGGTCCTTTATCACTTGTTTGTGTCAAGTCCCGCTCAAGGCTGAGCACTCAACCCCCCTTGGGTTAACAAGGCAGCTTGCAGACCCAGAGGCCCCATTATATTTGGACTATAAAAACTCCCTCCTGCCAGGCCCCCTCTCTCTTGCTCTCTCTCTCTTGCTCCCTCTTTCTTTCTATCTCTCTTGCTTTCCCTGTCTCTCTCCTGCAAGCATTCCCCCCCTCTCTCTTTTCTCTTTGTTGCACTGCTGCAATAAAGATCTTTTGGTTGCTCCGAGTGTTGTGATCACTTTCCTTTCACTCCTTACATAAATGAAGAGTTCCTAAAATTAGGGGGGAGATGAAGCCAGAAATAGACAGTGTAGATAGGTAAATTGAGTCAGGTTGGATCTGGGAGGCCAATTTTGAGTGAATCTGGAAAGTTGAGAGCCTGCCCAAATAGGTCCCCAACTGAGGGAACCATGATTGGTTCCCAAGTTTCCAGACAAAGGGGGAATGAAAAACCAGCCTCTACCTCAGAGCAAAGCCTGTCCAAGGAAGGGGCATGACCTTTGTCCTTGGAAAGATCCACAGAGCACTCGTAGGTATACACCCACACTTATGAGTTGTTTATCTACAAATAACAGAGAGATCCGCTGTGCCAGGTGTCCCTGACTCAGTCAGGCTAGGTGGGGACCCATAGCAACCCACTAGCAGCCACCAATCAGTGTGAGACAGGGAAATACCTGGGATGCCAGATGACCCTCCCAGTAGTTTATGGTGGTTGATAACATGTTGAGAAACCATGTAGTTCAGCATATACATCCCTGGTGGCCTAAACCAATCAGTTCAAATGAATCCCCCTCTTGTACCAGTCAATCACCCTTACCCAACCTGTTCCCGCCAGTGACTATGCTAATCATGTTTTAGAGTTGTTTTATGATTTTTCCGTGGTGTGCTATGATTTGCTAAGAGATGCTATGATGTATGTAAAGTCCCTGCCTTCTGCAAAGAGTGAATAAAACTGCTGCAAATCCTGGGCTCGGGGCCTCTCAGTGTCACCAGTTGATTCGTGTGCATGGAGAACCGAGCTAGCTTGCAATAAACACCTTTTTGCTGTTTACATCAAAAAAGAATGGGGAGATTAACATGAAGAGATGCTATATTTTGTCAAATGCTTTCTCAATATCTATTGAGATAATCTTATAATTTTTGTCTTTAATATATTGATGTGATATGATTTCCCTATGTTGAACAAACCTTGCATCCCTGGGATGAACCCTACTTGATTGTGGTGCACTATCTTTTAAAAATGTTTTTGGGTTTTCCCCTATATGTAATTTGATTCCTGTTCCTCATGGCTTTTTAAAATTCTCTCCTTATTCTGTATGTTGGGCATTTTATTTAATGTGCCTTGGTTTGGATATGTTGTGATTTTATACGTTTGGCATCCTGAAGGCTTCTTGAATTTGGATTTTCATTCTTCATGTTTCAAAAGTTTTCTGATATTATTTCATTGAAAATATTGTTCATTCCTTTGGTTTGGACCTCTATGCTTTCCTCTATCCCAATAACTCTTAGGTTTGGCCTTTTTATGCTATCCCATATTTTATGAATGTTCTGTTTATGGTTTCTTTTTTTTTAAAAGAGAGAGAGAGAGAGAGAGAGAGAGAGAGAGGTAATTTTTTAATATTTATTTTTTAGTTCTTGGTGGACACAACATCTTTGTTTGTATGTGGTGCTGAGGATTGAACTCGAGTCACATGCATGCCAGGCATGCACGCTGCTGCTTGAGCCACATCCCCAGCCCTGTTCATGGTTTCTTACCATTATCTCTGTGTTGTCTAAGTTATTTTCAGGATTATATATTTAATCTTCATTGTCTGGATGTCCTGTCTTCCAAGTGGTCTACTTTGTTGGTGATGCTTTCATTTGAGCTTTCAATTTGGTTTATTGCTTTTTTTAATTTCAAGGATTTCTTTTTTTTCCATTCTCTATTTCCCTGTTGAAACAATCTTTTGTTTTTTGGAGATACTACCATCATTTTATCAGATCATAATGAAATGAAGTTGGAAATCAATGACAAAATAAAAAAAAATTTCTTCATCACCTGGAGATTAAACAGTATGCTACTGAATGAACAATGGCTTACACAAGACATCAAGGTGAAGATTAAAAAATTATTAGAGATAAATGAGAACATAGACACAACATATTAAAATCTCTGAGACACCATAAAAGCAATACTAAGGAAAATTTATTGCATGGAGTTCATTCCTTAGAAGAAAAAAATGAACAAATAAATGACCTCACACCACATCTCAAAGCCCTAGAAAAAAAAGAACAAACCAGCAACTAAAGCAGTAGAAGGCAAGAAATAATTAAAATTAGAGCTGAAATCAATGAAATAAAAACAATTGAAAAAATTGACACAACAAAAAGTATTTCTTTGCAAAAGTAAATAAAATTAACCAATTCTTAGCTATGCTAATGAAGAAGAGAGAAATCTGAAATTACCAGCATATGTGATAAAAAAGTAATAATTCAACAGACACTACAGAAATATAGAGGATAATTAGAAATTATTTTGAAAACCTAAACTCCAATAAAATAGAAGACTTTGAAGGCACTGAAAAATTTTTAAGTCATATGATTTGCCCAGATTGAATCAGGAAGATTTACACAACTTAAACAGACCAATATCAAGTGATGAAATAGAAGATGCCATCAGAAGCTTACCAACCACCAAAACAAAAACAAAAACAACACAACAACAAAAACAAAAAACTAGGGCCAGATAGGTACACAGGCAAGTTTTACAAGACCTCTAAAGAAGAACTAATGTCAATACTCTGCAATTTATTTTAGGAAATAAAAAAGAGAAAGCAATTCCAAACTTATTCTATGAGGCCAATATCACCCTGATCCTCAAGCCAGGCAAAGGCACATCAAAGAAAGAAAACTTCAGATCATTATCTCTAATGAACATAGATGTAAACATTTTCAATAAAATTTTGGCAAATCAAATGCAAAATTGTATCAAAATATTTGTGCACCATGATCAAGTGGGATTCATCCCAGGGATTCAAGGTTGGTCCAACATACAATAATCAATAAATGTAATTCATCACATCAATACACTCAAAGATAAAAATCATATAATCATCTCAATAGATGCAGAAAAAGCACTTGACCAAATACAGCACCTTTACATGTTCAAAACACTAGAAAAACTAGGGATAACAGGACATATCTCAACATTGTATAAGTGATCTACACTAAGACTCAGGCCAACATCATTCTAAATGGAGAAATATTGAAGGCATTCCCTCTAAAAACTGGAACAAGATAGGGATGCCCTCTTTAACTACTTCTATTCAACATAATTCTTGAAACACTGGCCAGAAAAATTCAACAGCAAATAAACAAACAAACAAATAAATAATGCAAATAGAAAAAGAAGAACTTAAATTGGCACTCTTTCCTGACGATATGATTCCATACCCAGAATAACTGCACCATAAAACTTCTAGAATGAGTAAATGAATTCAGCAAAGTAGTAAGATATAAAGTCAACACCCATAAGTCAAAGACATTTCTGTATATCAGTGACAAAACCTCTGAAAAGGAAATGAGGAAAAGTATCCCATTTACAATAACCTAAAATAAAAAAATAAAATACTTAAGAATCAACTTAAGAAAAGAGGTGAAAGATCTACACAATAAAAACTACAGAACCCTAAAGAAGGAAATCAAAGAAGACATTAGAAGATGGAAAGATCTACCTTGCTCTTGGATAGGCAGAATTAATATTATCAAAATGACCATACTACCAAAAGCATGATACAGATTTAATGCAATTTTGATAAAAATCCCAATAGCATTCCTCATAGAAATACAAAAGGCAGTCGTGAAGTTCATTTGGAAAAATAAGAGTCATAGAATAGCTAAAGCAATCTTTAGCAGGAAGAGTGAAGCAGGTGGCATCTCTAGACTAGACCTTAAACCATACTACAGAGCAATAGTAACAAAAACAGCATGGCATTGGCACCAAAACAGACTGGTAGACCAATGGTACAGAATAGAGGACACAGAGTTTAATCTACAAAATTACAATTATCTTATATTAGACAAAGGTGCAAAAAACATGCACTGGAGAAAGGATAGCATCTTCAACAAATAGTGCTGGGAAAAGTGAAAATTCAAATGCAACAAAATGAAATTAAATCCCTATCTTTTACCATGTATAAAACTCAACTCAAAGTGAATCAAGGACCTAGGAATTAAACCAGAGACTCTGCATCTAATAGAAGAAAAAGTAACCCCTAATCTCCATCATGTGGGATTAGGACCCTACTTCCTATAGTGTAAGAATTAAAACAAAGAATCAATAAATGGGATGAAATAAAACTAATTTTTTTTATCAGCAAAAGAAACAATCTGTGACATGAATAGAGACCCTACATCCTGGGAGAAAATTTTTACCCCTCACACATCAGATACAGCACTCATCTCTAGGATATATAAAGAACTCAAAAAACTAAGCACCAAAAAAAAATCAACAAATGGGCCAAAGACCTGAACAGACACTTCTCAGATGAGGATATACAAACATTCAACACATATATGAAAAAATGTTCATCATCTCTAGCAGTCAGAGAAATGCAAATCAAAACTACTCTAAGATTTCATCTCACTCCAGTCAGAATGGCAGCTATTATGAAGACAAACAAAAATAAGTGCTGACAAGGATGTGGAGAAAAAGGTACACTCAAAAACTTCTGTTGGGACTGCAAATTGGTGCAGCTGATATGGGAAGCAGTATGGTGATTCCTTGGAAATCTGAAAATGGAACCACCATTTGACCTAGCTATCCTTCTCCTCAGTCTACATTCAAAGGACTTAAAAACAGCATACTACAGGGACACAGCCACATCAATATTTTTAACAGAACAATTCACAATAGCTAAACTGTGGAACCAACTTAGATGCCCTTCAGTAGATGAATGGGTAAAAAAAATGTGGCAT